CGGAGATCCAACTGGAGGATGTGTCTGGCACCGCGGCCGTTCCAGAGCGTTCTGGAGCGCTCTGGGAGCGCTCCCGAAGCCTCTCTGCAGCGATGCCCCCCGCTGGGCCCTCTCAGCGCGGCCGAGGAGCCGACGGAGGAAGATGGCCTGGGCTCTAGGCAAAATTCTCCTGGCGAAGTGCCCAACCACGTCCTCCTCCTCCTCCTCCTCCTCCTCCTCCTCCTCCTCCTCCTCCTCTTCCTCCGCTCTACTCCTCCTCGTGTTTCGATTATCCTCCTCCTCCTCCTCCTCCTCCTCTCCTCCTTCATCCGCTCTACTCCTCCTCGTTTGTCGATTATCCTCCTTCTCCTTCTCCTCCTCCTCCTCCTCCTCCCCCTCCTCCGCCTGCTCCTCCTCCTCCTCCTCCCCTGCCTCCTCCTGCTCTGACTAGCGCAGTTTTAAAAGCCATCTCCAGTGGCGCTCACCACGGGGCCACCAAAACGTGTGAGCGGTGTGCCGAAATCGGGCGGGGGGACGCACGTGGTCCCTGCCACTGGGGCCTTCGGTGGAGCTCCCAATGCGTCCACGAAGCGTGAGGGGGGGCCGAAATGGGGCAGCGGGACGCATGTGGACCCTGCCACTGGGGCCTTCGGTGGCGTTTATTATGTGGCCACGAACCGTGTAACGGGTGTCCCTGATCGCATCGGGGGGGCGCATGTGGACCCTCCCACTGGGGCCTTCGGTGGAGCTCCCTATGGGGCCATGAAACATGTGAGGCGTATGTCGAAATTGGGCGGGTGGACGCATGTGGACCCTGCCACTGGGGCCTTTGATTGAGCTCCCTATGGGGCCACGAAACGTGTAACAGGTGTACCGGAATGGCTGACATGCGGAAGGCAGAGACAAGGGACGAGAGGAGGGCGAGGAGGAGGAGGCGGACGCGGACGCGGACGCGGACGCGGAGGCGGAGGAGGAGGAGGAGGAGGAGGAGGAGGAGGAGGAGGAGGAGGAGGAGGAGAGGCGCTGTCACTTCAAAAAAGAGGACCCAACACTACATAACGGTTTGGCAAAAACACTCCGCGGCAGGGTCTGTGGGCGCAAAGGCAACTGGAGGCCACCCAAACGGAGCCAGACCAGGCGGGGTCGGAGAGTCGCACCGCGCCACCGCTGCATCGCGGCGATGCATCGGCGACGGCGGGGTGGAGAAGATCGGGTTTCTGACGGCGACGCGCCGCCGATGCACCAATGATGCGGCGCGATCCCGTTTGTTCTGGCCCCATCTTGGGCGCCCCGGGGTGACGCGACGGAACAAAAAGGTACCGAGACCGCTGCTCTCTGGACCTCTCCTGTGATGCTTTCCCAGACACGGGGCGATGAGACGTGGCGCGCGTTCAACCCGCGGCCCGAAAGCCTTCGGACCCACTCCCTGGGGGCAACTTTCCGCCCCAGACCCTTTTTCGGATGGCCCGAGGATGGGGACAGAAACCCCTGTAGTAAACCGTGGTTTAGTGAACACGACCTCGGGCTCAAACCTGGCGGGCGCAAGCCTGCAGAACGACCGCGGCGCCCTCTCGAGAACCGAACACGGACAATTCACTAATCGACGCGTCAGGGTGGGGGCCCCGTCCGCCCCCGAATGGCCCCGGGCCCGCGAGGGACCCCTGGAGGCCGAGACGAAAGAGCAGCCGCCAGGACCAGTCGGACCGTCGGAGATCTGAGCTCTGACCGGCTCTCCGGCGCGAGTCTGACCGCGGCGACGGAGAGCCCCCGAGGAAGGAGGAGGGGGAGGACGAGGAGACGAGCGTAGAAGGATTTCCCAGTCAGGCCCACCCTCTGGCCCGACCTGCCGCCTCGGGCTGGGGGCGGGGCGCCGCAGGCGGCGGCGCCTCGAAGACATCCGACGCGTGCTCCGCGGCGCCGATGGCAGGGGTCGCTATTTCAATCCGTGCAGGGTAGGGGGGGGGCGAGGGGGGAGCAGCAGAGGCAGGGGCAAGAGCAGCGCTCAGGAGAGACGGGCGGGTAGAGAAGATGCGGCCAGACGCCGAGACATGGACACAGGCCGAGCGGACGGGGAAGAAAGGCTGATGCTGAGGACTGGTGGGCGACAAAAGCACCGCAGGGGGTGCAGGAAGCAGGCCCCGCGGCAGTCGACAAAATCTGCATGCTGGAACTGCGACGCACAGGCATAGATACAATGCTGGAAGGCGATCAGATGCTCGAGAAATCACTGGCGTGGCTATCGAGGCACTCGAGGGGCCCATCAGAGGCGGTTGGCACGACCCCGAGGCACTGAGAGAGGTCATCACTGAAGACAAGACAATGGGCGAGGGCGGAGCAGGAGCCTGCAGCGTCGCTTCGTCCTCAGAGCTGCAAACGAGTTCGGGGGAAGCGATGAGCGTGGCAGGCGTGGGTGGCTCAGAACATGGGCGCGACGACGAGGTGGAGGAAGAGGAAGAGCCAGGCCGCGGCAGCGCGGAGTCCGTCACCTCGAGGGCGGCTCGCTCGACACTCGAGAGCTCCATCGGCGACACCATCCTCATCGCACGCACTCCAGCAAGAGCACAGCTGAAAGCCTGGTTCTCGTCAATAGGCCACTGCTCGATAATGCGGGTTACATTCTACATGCTGTATGCCAACATCATCACCGCAACATTAGCAATATATGGGGATAGGAGACACCAGCGATGTAGAACAGGGAGAGGGAAAGGCCGGCCCAGCGCCTGACGTACCGCAGAGAACATATTGGGGCAGCGGGCGTAGTGCTTGAGTGAGTCGGGCGAGCGTGCACAGCCATACGCGCAGAGCCGTCGACCGCCCGCATGGAGGATGCGATGCGAGGTGAGCCAAGCGTCAGACCAGGTACGAACCGCAGCCCACACCCACGACGTCGGGCATCTCCTGAGTACTGTAATAATCGGCTTCCAGTTTCATCCCACCAAGAACTGCACGGTGACGGGGTATCAGCTTGCGCAATATTAGCCCCAGAACTCCAGAAAGAGGTGCAGCTTCACGAGCCAACCCACGGAGAGCACGATGCGCAGCACGCTGAGGACGGGGGCGGCGGTCCACGGCTGCCAAGAGCTCCTCGCGGGCAGCCACACACGCGACGGGAACCATGGGCGAGAGCTGGCCAGGAGGGCCAAGCCCAGCAGCAGCTTGCGCCAGCGTCTCCACAAACGACTGAGAGCGCCAGAAGCTCGGATACAGACGACCAGGGCGAAGCATGCACAGCGTGCGCCAGTCGTCGTGCTCGTGGATGAAGGAGACCAGCGGGTGCAGGATCTGCGCGTGCTCGGGGAAGGTGAGCGTGGCGGCGCGCACCAGCGAGGCGACGGCGACGTGCCCCCAGCAGAGGACGCGCGGGCCGCCCCACAGGTCCAGCTGCGCCCAGGACTCCAGCGAGAGGGCGCCGAGCGGCGCCCGAAAGGCCTGCGCCAGCGTGGGCAGCTCAAGCGCCAGGAGCTTGGACGGCAGCCAGGCAAATTGCGCGACGTACGAAAATGTGGCCACCGCACGGGTGTTATACAAGATGGCTGAGACGCTGGGGGTGTCGCGCCGCGGCCAATCGCCTGAGCCCGCAGGCGAAGCTTAGCGACAGGGTCCGTCCAGCAGTCACAAGGGCCAGCAGTCACAAGGAGGAGGAGGAGGAGGAGGAGGAGGAGGAGGAGGAGGAGGAGGAGGAGGGGCAGGCGGAGGAGGAGGAGGAGGAGGTACACATGGGGGGAGAGAGCCACTTCGCCGCGAGCGCAGGTAGGTGGTGGTGGCGTGAGGGGGGGGCCTTCTAGGAAGGCAGGGTGGGGGCTTCCGAGAGGGCTTGCGGGCCTCTCAGAAGCCCTCACGGCCTCTGAGCGGCCGTCTCGGACGCCAGGAGGGCCTCCCCAAGAAGCCCCCCCGCGCCTCCTGAGAAGGCCGCCCCCCTCGCGTTATCCCCTCGCGCTCGCCGCCAAGCCAGAAAAGGGCAAGGGTGCGAGGCAGGAATTAATCCTCCTTTTCCTCCTCCTCCTCCTCCTCCGCCTCCTCCTCGTCCTCGTCCTCGTGCCCTCCTCCTCCTCATCCTCCTCCTCTCCTCCTCCTCCTCTCCTCCTACTCCTCCTCCTCCTCCTACTCCTCCTCCTCCGCCCCTCCTCCTCCCCTCAGTGCTCCTCTCCTCTTCCTCGTCCTCCTCCTCCTCGCCTCATCCTCGCCCTCCTCCCCCTCCTTTCCCTCTGCCCTCCTCCTCCTCCTCCTCCTCTCCCTCCTTCCTCCTCCTCCTCGCCCTCCTCCTCCTCCTCCGCCTCCCTCCTCCTCCTCCTACTCCGCCTCCTCCTCCTCCTACTCCTCCTCTATTAGTCCTCCTCCTCCTCCTCCTCCTCCTTCTCCTCCTCCTCCTCCTCCTCCCTCCCCTCGCCCTCCTCCTCCTCCCCCTCCTCCCGCCCTCCTCGCCCTCCTCTCCTCCTCCTCATCGACCTCCTCCTCGCCCTCCCTCCTCGCCCTCCTACTCCTCCCCCTCCTCCTCGCCCTCCTCCTCGCCCTCCTCCTCCTCCTCGCCCTCCTCCCCTCCTCCCTCCTCGCCTTCCTCCTCGCCTCCTCCTCCTCCTCTCCAAAGGCCTCCTCCTCCTCGCCCCTCCTCCTCGCCCTCCTCCCCTCCTCCTCTGCCTCGCCCGTCCTCCTCCTCCTCCTCCTCCTCCTCCTCGCCCTCCTCCTCGCCCTCCTCCTCCTCCTCCTCCTCCTCCTCTGCCCTCCTCATCCTCCTCCTCCTCCTCCTCCTCGCCCTCCTCCTCCTCGCCCTGCTCCTCCTCCCCTCCGCCGGGGGGATCTTTCTTCGGTCGACCTCGGCAGGCGGTGGATCGGCACAGAAAGTTGCCCCTCCATGGACCCGAGGCGGTCCACATTCCAGATCCCAACTTCGCGCTTCGCGCTCCGCGAAGCGCGAATGACTTCGCGCTCTCGCGCCGCCCCCGCAAAGGGGGAGAGGGAACGACCTTCGCGCCCTCTCCCCCAGGCGGTGGTGATGGAGAAGTCCCCGCCTCGGAGCCGGGCACTCTGAGCTGCGACGTCGCGGCAAAATGGGAGCATCGCCAGGCACCATGACCGGGGCCCCAGGCATCATCTTCCTGCGGCATCTTCCGAGCTGGATCCACCTGTGATGGCCCTGGGGCCCGAGAATCCTGCCGAAAACACCCGTTGGGATGAACAAGTTGCAGCGCCCGGCTCTCAATGGGGGCCTCCCCGATGAGGGTCCGGGAAGATGTGGTCGGAGGATCGCGCCGCATCGCCGATACATCTGGCGACGCATCGACGATACATCGACGGCGTCGGCGATGCAGCGGCGACGCCAGCGTGGAGAGAGTAGGACTCCACATCGAGTTGCATCCCCGGTGCATCGGCGATGCGGCGCGATCCACCGACCCATCTACGGTCGGACCTCGGACAGAAAAACATCCTTCAAGAACATGATGCCCTCCGCTGGCCAAAACATCCCAAACCATAAGATCACTCGAGGGTGCCCTCCCCCAGGATGCACAAGAGCATCCAACAAACACGAAGAACATCAGGGTACCCCCCCCTCCGAGCCGACCTCGCTCTTACACTTCGGTCCGACCGTACTCGGACCTCATCAGGGAGGCCCAGAGATACATAAATCCCCGACCCTGAAAGTCGGGGGCGTCCAAGATGGGGGCGTCCAAGAGGGGGTGGGCGCAAATCATGGCCGGCGGCATGTGCGCGGCCCAGGGTGGGGCTGGGGACGCACTGAAATGAGAAGAGGGGCCAGGAACTCTGGGGAGATCTCCTGGTCCCCGCCCCCCCCCCTGGTCATCACCCCCCTCTTGGCCGCCCCCGGGATAAGGGCACTGGCCAACACCTGCCCCCCTCTGCAGACGGCGGGGGCCCCCCGCCGGGCCTCCCGCCCTGCTGCCGCGCCGGCGCCCCAGCCTCGGCCACGAGGCAGACGGGTCTCCCCAGAGGGCAAGGGATCCCAGGCCTCTGTTGGCGGCGCGCAGCAGGGGGCAGGGTTGAGGCGAAGCCAGGACGAGGACAAACACGGGTAAGGATAAATCGAGAATCTCTCAGATCCGTCGGTTACGGAGGATGTCTCGGGCGTCGCGGCCTTCTCAGAGCGTCCTGGAACGGACATATCCTCGTCCTAGCACCGCCCGATACGGGGAGGGGGGAAGGCTTCTCAGAAGGAGGCTGCATCTTTAGAGGCCTCCTAGATGGGGTCCGAGTAGATGGGTCGGAGGATCGCGCCGCATCGCCGATGCATCGCCGATGTATAGGCGACGTCGGCGGCGTATCGGCGACGTCGGCGTGGAGAAAATCGGACTCCGCATCGAGCGGCATCGGCGATGCGGCGCGATCCTCCGACTCCATCTACTGCGACCCCGTCTGGGAGGCATGGATTCTTCGAAGACGGCGGCCTTGCATCTACGGGCAAGGCCCGCGCCTTCTCGGAAGCAGGGGTGCTTCTGAGGAGCCTCCCCCCCTTCCCCCACCCCCCTCTGCGCGTGGCCGGCTTTGAGAGACGAGGCCAGGGCCGGCAGAAGCCGGACCAGGACAACAAATCGGGGATCTCGGAGATCTGGCGCTCCTGGAGGGCGCAGCCGGCACCGCGGCCGCTCCAGAGCGCTGCGAGAGCGTTACGGCATGCTCCAGAGCGATGTCTCTCTTGTGGGTGGCGAGGTCCGACCCCTGCTCCCAAACTGCCCCCCTTGTGGCCGGAAAAGGAAAACAAGCACACAAAAGACACCTTCTCGAACCCAGCACCTCGAACCTGCGCCCCCCTCCCCCCCCCCTTCCTGCTGGCCGGAACCAGTGCAGGGCCGCCTCAGACCCCCAGCCGAATCCAGAGTGGGCCTTCTCTCAATGCCCGCAATAGGTGGACCTCATCCGAACCCCATCCCCCACCGACCATCGATTCTCCTCAGGGAGGCGGGGTAGAGTTCGGATTCCGCCGCGTGCTCGACGAACTCCGAGCCCTGCCCCCGCCGCCCACCGAGTTGCCAGGATCGTGGATCGGCGAGGGCGGGGCTCGGATTGCTTCGCCGCCGATCCTGGTCCTGGGCTTGCCTGCGCCCCCCCCCCCCTGGGGCCTTGCCGCCCTGCTCATCGCCCCGAGCCGTTCTCCCGTGTCACCTCTCGCGGGCGCGCAAACATGGATTAGCGATCCATGGATTTGGCGCGCGGTCGCCGCATCCATGCATCGGGGGAGGTGCACTCCCAAAATGCGGCCGGTGCCGCCTCGCTCGGCGGCGGGAAGCCGCGATTTCCCATGGAAACGGGACCCGTCGCTTATCCACGCCCCCTTGATCCATGTTTGCGATCGCCTGAATCATGGCCCCGGCCATGCAATCCCCCCCCCTGGCCCTCTCCCCTCGGCCATGCAATCCCCCCCCTCTCCCTCCTCCCACCACTCCTCCTCCGCCCCCCCTTCCTCCTCCTCCGGAGCGCGTGTCCTCCTCCTGCTCCTCCCTCTCCTCCCTCTCCTCCCTCTCCTCCCTCTCCTCCCTCTCCTCCCTCTCCTCCCTCTCCTCCCTCTCCTCC